ATATATTAAAATATTTTATATAATATATATATATATATATATATATATATATATATATATATATATATATATATAAATATATATATATACATGTTAACATTATTTAAATATACTGCCTTTTGTAAATATGAGTTATGAGTCCGCAACAAAAAAGATTTTTGCCTGCACATCAATGTTACAAAGCGCACACTTTTTTCACGACAAATAAATTACTCCAGTAAGACTCATTGACAAAATCTCATTGTGAAACGCCTCAGTCAATCTCATTGACACAATCCCTCTCTGAAATAGCTCAACCAGCCTCATTGACACAACCCCTTTGGAAACAACTCAATAATGCAGAAAGACCTATATGTTAACGAAAATATTAACACATCTAATGTTGGTGCACATCATGATAAAAATCTCTAAGACTTTATTAGAAAATACTGCGCATTTTATTTAATTTGCAGCACAACATTTCATAACCCATTATTTATCACTATCCACAGTGGTGTCTTTCTACACACAAGGATGTTGCATGAAATGGCGTGGATGACAAATAAAAAGCAGAAAATTTTTAACATAAGATTTACATAAAAATTAAATTTATTAGTTTTTAAAAAGAGTTGGGAAGATACTGGTTGGAGATTCTACCTTTTTTGTGTTTAACAATGGTCCTCTTACTGTCCTCTTACTGTCCTCTTACTGTCCTCTTACTGTCCTCTTACTGTCCTCTTACTATCCTCTTACTGTCCTCTTACTGTCCTCTGACTGTCCTCTAACTGTCCTCTTACTGTCCTCTTACTGTCCTCTTACTGTCCTTCAGAGTCCCGTCATTTGAAGGTATTTATGCATGTGTAACTGGACAATTGACCTGTTTGTTTCTGACACAGTCACGTCATTTGAAAGCAGCTATGTATAAATCATTGAGAAAAAACCCAAGGTTTACATAAATCAATTGAATTGTTATTGATCTATTTGATGCAAGATAATGAGTTTATCAACAACAGGCCTGTAACACATACAGCCCGCGGGACACATGCGGCCCGCTAGCACCCACTTTGCGGCCCGCTAAGTAACGAGTTATTCTTTATTATGATTACTTTCTTTATAGCTTTCCCCCCTTTCTTATTTTCTTACGATCCACACAAATTTTTCATAGAGTGTTACGGCCCAACATTCATTATTAATATGTGCAGGCCGCACAATATACCTCGAAGTAATTTTGGAATATAGCGTTTATTTTGTATGTTTAAATTAATAATAAGTAATTTTAATTATAGTTATTAAAGTAAATGAATAAATTTGAGATAATTATGTATACAATCTATTTTAATATATATATATATATAATTTACATATTTTTTTAAAAACTATTTTTAATGATCAAGAGAACAAGATTTCATTTTATGTTTTTTCTATGCAATAACTGGAGATAGACTGCCCTACATAATGTGAGAAACCCTGCCCTAAATAATATGAGAAACGCTTCACTAAACTACGTGAGTCTTGCTGCTCTAAAAAGTTTGAGAAACACTGCCTTAAATAATGTGAGAAAGACTGCCCTAAAAAATGTGAGAAACTCTGCCCCAAATAATATGAGAAACACTGCCCTAAACAATTTGCGAAACACACATCTAAATAATGTAAGGAACACTGCCCTGAATAATATGAGAAACACTACCCAAAAAAATTTGCGAAACACTGATCTAAATAATTTGAGAAACACTGCCCTATTATGTGATAAACACTGCCATAAATAATTTGAGAAACATTGCGTTGAATAATGTGAGAAAAACTACCCTAAACAATATGAGAAACACTGCCCTAAACAATAATAATATGAAAAGCACAGACCTAAATAATGTGAGAAACACTACCCTAATTAATTTGAGAAACACTGGCCTATATAATTTGAGAAATGACTTCATACAACAAGAGTTGTATTTTAACAGGATAAAAACCACACTTAGCGTAACCCTGTGAACACCAAGCCGGAAAAGACGAACACAATTACGATTTCACCAACTACTAGTTTTTTTACAACGCCGAATACGGAAACATGATTTACCTTGGGCTCTTTTATTAACTTAAGAACAGGACCGTGCGAATCATGAAAATGCTACCCACTCCTATCCCTTTACCGCCCCCCCCCCCCGCCAAAAAAAAAAAAAAAAGAAAAA